TCGAGAGAGAAAGAGAGAGAAAGAAAGAAAGAGTGAGAGAGAGAGAAAAAGAAGAGAAAGAGATAGAGGACATTTTTACGCAAGCGTATACGTGTATAAAATCTAACCAGCTTAAAACGTACATACATCTCTCGTGGACCGCGCGCCGGCGAGCAATAGCACCAGCTCCGCTCGTACGTGCGGAATCGATGCGGCTTTGATCATCGTGGAACGGAACAGGGACAGAGCCGCGAATCGATCTCGATGGAATCATTCTCGCGATTACAATGGACACGCGGAAGTCGGTCAACGGTTGTAACGTCCGACGAGAATTCTCCATCGAAATCCGTCTGAACGCGCGCGATCCGAATCGGCCGATGAGAGTGAACGTATCCGGAAACCGAGTGCAATCCTCGCGAAATCGGTTCGGCGCGCGACGAATCTCGAGCGTCGCGTGTGAAAGCTCACTTTCACACGTTCGCCGATGAAACGATAACGCGTTTATTTCCGAGAGAACGGATCGCGCTGGCGGACAGAGAGGATTTCGAGAAACACTCCGCACGTCCGCAAACACTCGAAGCCGCCCCGCAACGATCCCGCTAAGCTCGAAGCCTGGTCGAAGAGTCGCGGATCTCTCGCGACGGCACGTCCCCGGCTGTCGCGACGATGTCCGAGCGTGTCCACGGCTTGTCGACCACTCGATACCCTGATTGTGTGTTACAATAGCGTAATTGCCTTTATTCTATTCGGCGTCGTCCTCGCGGACAGCCCCTCCCCTACTCCCCGAGCTAATACACGGTGCAATTCCATTAACAAGACGATCGACGGACTTCGGCCGCGCAACAGTCTCGCGCGGGCACCCCCGAAGTTCACGCCGCCGGCCTGCGCCCGAATTTCAAGGACGATCGTTTAAATGAAAGCTATCTAAGCCAGTCTTCCTCGTGTTCCTTCGACGCATCCCCTCGTCTCTACAAGGACGTCGAGCATTCTTTACGCGCTCGCCTCGGACTTTCGTTTAATCTATTCGCCGGAAACGGGTGACGTCTATCAGATTTTCAGTAATACAGGTAACCCTCTAACACGGTAGATGACTTCCATTATTCTAAGGGATAGTTTTGAAATGTTCGACGAAATCGTGTTATCTGTAGTAGTGTTAGAAAGGTCACGATCTTATGGTGTTAGAGGAACCGTGTTGGTTGGAACCGTTTCTTATCGTTAGGAGGGTTGCCTGAATTGTTGATAGAAGACGGAATAATACGCGAACAGCCCGTTCCCGTTGTATTCTCTAAACATTCATTGAACGAGCAAGGAACGATTCTCCGGTCGGTGTACGTCTCGGATCCGAAAGTGGGCTCTACGGGGCGAGGATATACGGAAACCGGGAGCACCTGTTCCGCTTGTTCTGGTTCCGATATCAGGCATCGTTAATTCCCCTGGCCTGCGTGCGATACGCCTCCCAGCTGCAGACGAATCGCCGACGGTGCGCCGCGTTACATCATCGCTGTTCTATTAACCCATTAACTCGCCGCGTGTTCTATTTCGACGAGACCATCTGAAATTCGTTTGCCGCTCGCGAGCGACAATGGAGAATAACAAAAGCAACGGTTAATGGGTTATCAGTTCGCGGCCCGTCGACGGCTTTATGCCGTCGGCAATGTATTAACGTGGCGATCCGTGGGTGTCGGGGTGTCCTTGCGCCGCGGTTTAATCGACGTTGTAGTGTTATAATATTGATGTAACGTTACGATTATAATATGAATTATGTGATATTGTAATTATGATATCAGTAATGTAATATTATAATTGTAATATCAATACTATAATATTACAATTATAGTATCAATACTGTAATATTATAATTATAATATCAATACTATAACATTATAATTATGATATCAATACTATAACATTATAATTATAACACTAGAACTACTAAGCAACCAAGACATTGTAATGTTATAATATTAATGTTGCAACGTTACGATTATAATATGAATTCTATGACATTATAATTATAATATCAATACTATAATATTACAATTATAATATCAATAGTATAACATTATAATTATAACACTAGAACTACCAAAAAACCAAGACATTGTAACATTATAATAGTAATGTTGTAACGTTACGATTATAATATGAGTTATATGACATTATAATTATAATATCAATACTATAACATTATAATTATAACACTAGAACTACCAAGCAACCAAGACATTGTAACATTATAATAGTAATGTTGTAACGTTACGATTATAATATGAATTCTGACATTATAATTATAATATCAATACTATAATACTATAATTATAATATCAATACTATAACATTATAATTATAACACTACCAAGCAAGTTGACTTTCCAAAACCTTTCTACAGAACCAAGAGTGCCTCCATCGAGACTTCGACCACTCAAAACTCAGTTTACATAT